GGTTAATGCATATTGCCATGCTTTTTAAAGATTTCATCACCAAACCTTAACGTATTACCTAGTATCATTGTGCTTGATCTGAGCTCTTTTATTCACCAGAACCTGTTTTGGTATATCATATAGAATAGATGGTCAATGAGTAGTTAAGATTTATTTATATTTTTGTGATTGGAACTTTTTGAACCTCCTTGTTCAGAAGAAAGATGATTGCAATCTCCAGTCTTCATCAGACATTGCTCATCAGATGGGGAAAGAACTTAAATACGCTGATCTCATCAGAGTAAAATTCAGTAGCTGAGCAGCTGCAAAGACAAATGTTCCACAATATAAAATGACTAGTTGGAAACATTCAGGTCAAGCATTTTTAGTGGTCCAGAAGGGCCACCCTCAGAAACCTGGATGAGGCTCACTGCTAAATGCTTCAGTGACAATCAGAACCTAAAGGCAGCCTTCCTAAGTCGTCCAGGAGATTGCCATCTGAGATGCAGATACTTCCTGAGCACGCTCTGCAGGAGAGGCCACATCTGTTTTCTTGCTGGGAAGGGATTATGACTTTTCCAACTCACAAGTGGAAATGTTCTTTCATCCAGTGTATCTTAAAATGCTAAATGGCCTCCTGCTTAAGAGGTTAAAAAGGGGTCTACAAGAGAGGCTTGTGGCTTAGGAGATACTGATGCATGAAAAGAGAAAAGGATGCATAGCTATATTTGGGTGCATTTCTGGATGCAGTAGCCCCCATCTGAGTATCTTAGAGACTACTTCTCACCTCAAGTGAATGGCTTTACCCACATGGTGGTCACCTTACTCGCAACTGGAACTATGTTTAGGAAAATCTCAGTGACAGCATCAGTATCCACCGTAGACAAATGATAGACACTCCCCACCCTGTGCTGTATTTCTCCCTGCTTCAGATGGACAACTTGTGGTGTACAGAACAGAAAGAAGAAACGAGTGGACCAACAACACACACCAGGAAAACCAATTTAGTTTCACAGATTTTCTGTCAACATTTTCTTTGCAATATTTCCCTATTTTAATGTGCCCTTTTCTTCTTCTGTTGTCAATCTTTCTTCCAATCAACTTCTCTCTGAGCTAATCATTGCCAGCTATTGAACAAATGCACTACTTTGGTGACTTCTCTGTGATAATTTAGACAGCAAAGCAGTACATAATAAAACTGGTAAATAGTTATATTGTATTACTTTTTTTCCATAAAATACTCGATCTTTTTATTTTGCACACTTTTAATATCAAATCAAACTCCTTAAAGACTCTCTCTTTTTAAAATAGCTTTATTTTATTTATTTATTTTGATGTGGGGCTGAGGATTGAAACCATGGCCTCACACGTGCTAGGTGAGCGCTCTACCCCTGAGCCACAACCCAGCCCCTAAAGACTTTTTCTAGTTGTCAACAAAAGTCAGCTTAAGAAGTCATGAATCTCAAGTGGTTTTTACTTTCAGCTAGTCTTATTCTGAGATCCTGAGAAGAGGTGCATTAAGCCACCTGAAATTATGTCTCAGGGCAATTAAGAGTCCTACTGGTTTATGTGAGAGTTATTAAAGCAACCAGGGTGAGAAGAAAGTTGAGGACTAATACATTTAAAATTAATATTTCTTCAAGTCTTTCTGGGTGTTAAGGATGGAGTTTTCCAATCAGCTCAGATCTAAAAGTTTAGGTGAGGAGGGAGGGATCTGGCATTGCACTCTCTCCAAATGACTGACACTTTTTCCTTTTAGATCAACTTGCCTTATTCCCTTTCCAGGTCCTAATGTCCTAACACTATTTTTGTTCATTTGTTTTTGGGTTTGTAATATCTAATTGTCAGAATAATCATGAAGATTCCTCCAATATCTGTAACCAGGGCCAGAGCAAAATATATTAAGTTCTAAAATTACTCTTCCATAATTCTGAAACCCAGAAAGTTCTGAAAAATAGACTTTTTTTTTCATTATTGCACAAATTAATTTGGCAACAAAATCTGACCTGAACTGATGCAAGGCTATTTATAGTCTGTAATGATCCTGCACAGAGTGTGTTCTGTATTGCTACGGAAATACTAACACCTTTGATTAGGGTGCTGTCCCAGTGTATGCTGAGGATGTTATAAAATACACCACATATAGCTCCCTGAAATATGCTAAGTTACAAATTCCAAAACCTGCACCAACAGTTTGGATTAAGGAATTGAAGACGTGAACTATACACTGAAGGCAATGTTTTTTTCACTTAGTGCTAATTTTAAGCCAGTCATTAGACGAGAAGACCGTGGCAGAAACTTGGCTGTCTTTAAACATAAAGCAAGTTTCTTGCTTGCTTTTGAGTATCCGCATCTGAATACAACTCTCCTTTGACAAGGGTATTAAAAAAAAAAAAAGAAAGAAAGAAAAAAAAAAAAAGCTGAGCCTAATTACCAACATATTGCTTTATTTCTTGGTGGTAGTAAATTAAGGCTTTCTAGAGTCATACAGCACGCAGTGATTTGAACATTAGAGTTACAAAAACAATGAGCATTCAATTTAGCAGAGCCAGGAAGGAAGCAATGTTTTAAAACAGATAAATTTTTCTGCTGAGGACTTTTGCTTGGTCTCTAAAAATCTGCTGAGCTGTTTTCCCAGTAACCTCTGTCACAGATTCATACCCCCAAGGGAGAGCAGAATGGATGAAGAGGACACCAGGAAAGGGGAGAAACTGGGAAAGACAGCATGTGCTGGGCAGGCAACCAGTGTGAGAAGTGGTCTTAGTCTCATGCTTGGAAAATTGGTTAGGTGATGTGGTCGGGTGGTGGCGACAGAGACACTCAGAATGGTTCAGGGAGCTGTTCTGGATCTCCCTGCTCATTCCAAGAGTATTAAACCAGCTTATCTGGAATATCCCCGAGCCAAAAGTGAAGGACAATCATCTGTGACTCCTAAATTCTGAAACTATGGATAGTCACCAGTCACAGACCAGAGGTATGTTCCTTTGAAATTCTATTATGGTTCTAAACTCTATGGCTAACATGAAATGCTGTCCCCAGCCAAACAAGTCACCTCCCCTCATGGCACATTGCATTGATTGTGTATCTGGGTTGAGGATGATGTCAGTTGGACAGAAAGCCATGTTTCATATGATGTATGATAGAAACCTCCTGGAAAGACTCCATCTCATCACTCTAGCTCCTCCTTCCTGACATAAGACTACAGTGTGCACGGGAGCCTACAGTAGGAGTGCAGTTGTCGAGTGAGTGGTATGTTAGCTGGCTCTGAAACAAAGTCAGCACAGTTGGCTAGGAAATGCAGAGGTTCTGGAATTGGATGGTGGCCCCTTTGAGGAGGAAATACATGAGCTGTTTCAGCAGCAAAGAAGAAGGGTGTGGTCAGAGATTAATTTGGGAAAGGTCCTGGGTTTACTAATAAATGACACTACATTTCATAAGCATGGAATTTCTCCTGGTTACCTGATTTCACATAATAGACTAATGAATCAATTATTTCCATATAGGACCACTTAAAATTCATATTTTGTCATGATGTTGATGTTCTATTCCAAAGGTTTGGTTAGTGGACTAGCATCTGTCTTATCAATGTGATCCCTCTTCAACTTGTTTCAAGTGCACGGTATTTAAACACCTGGAAGTCTACTTTGTATTCTTTAATGGAATGCATGCAGACAGCCAAGCGGGAGACACAAGGTGGCAATTTGCACAATTAAACATTTACAAACTTAACCCCGGTAGGCTCCATGTGATGAAGTCTGGATGCATAAAGAAATAAATAGATGAGAAAAGTCAAAATGCAATCTAAATGACAAAAAACCACAGCATCTGTCTCTGCCAGCTGCAGGACAGATGTGCCTGATGTATGCCACATGTGCTCTGAGAGGGATTAGAAAAACCTTTGAGGACATGGGTTCCCTTGGGCCTCACTTGTTAATTAAAAATTGCAAGGGTCTTTCCTCCCTTTGAAAACACTCAGAAGATGAGTCTTGACTGGGGGATTTGAACTTCCCCATGTTCAGACATTCTGGTGCTCTGCTAAGACAGTGTTGAGAAGGGGAAAGCTGAAAGTACTTGTGCACAGAAACCATAGCATCCAGAGGGGCAAGAGACGATGTGCAATAGACTCATCCACCAAAACAAACTGAGAGTGAGTGGTACTCGCATGAGAGCAAAAGGACACATAGGATCCTATGTGCACTGACATGGGCACTGTGGAACCTCCTGAAAGGAGCCCAACTACAAAATCAATTCTTTTAGAAGAGGTACCTGACCGTGTGGCTGTGTTAAGGTTTTTGTTTATTGATATGTCTGTTCTCTTAATCCTAAAACCAGCATGGGGCTAATTCTCCAGCTGGGTGGCTTCTAATCCAGTGTTGCAAGCTGAAGCCTGGAGAGGTGAAGTTCTTTGGCCAAGGTCATCCAGCTAGTTAGCAGAAGATCTGGGGAAAAAAACAAAGGTCTCTTCCACCATGCTGCTTGCCACAATGGATTTTTTTAAAAAGGTCTGAAAAGCTCTTTGTAAATTCAAAGTGACTTAGGACACTTATTTAACCACAATTTGCTTGGTGTGACATTAAGGGGCGGGGCTCAGGTCAACCCAGCAGTATGAAGAGGAGTTCTAGAGAGCGCTGTGGTTGCGATACTCTTGTGGCAGTTGCGGATGGAGGATGGAGGGAGGGTGGAGCTAAGGGCCGGGATGTGGCATGGTGTGGGTGTGACCTGTGTTCAGGAGCGCTGGTGTGGAGAGGAAAGTAAGGTACATTTCTAAAGACCTCCATCTGCCTAAGGGAACATCTTATGTGAGAAGAGAAGCTGTTTACAAATTACCTGACCAAAAACACTGTTTGCTGCAATAGAAATCTGTTCTTTACCCTTTAATTTCTTTGACCTCTGTCACCCATGAGAAATGAGGAAAAGTAAAAGCCAGATTCCTAAGAACCTTCCTGAAAGAAATAGCTGCTGAGTGGGTGTCGGTGCTTACATATGCTGCTTTTAAAGAACATCTTGTTTGGTTCGTGTTTGTATGGAGACCACGCCCCATGAAAGCTGTCCCTTCAGAAGAAGGCGGGGTTGGTGTGCTCGATGACGCAGCGCTTGCAGTGGCGTTTGACAAACCGCAGGGCCTCCACAGAAACCTCGCAGTCTTGGACATTCAGCATCTGGAGGTCAAAGCAATTGGCGGCCACGATCTGCAGGCCCTGGCCGGTGATGCTCTCGCAGGACTTGAGGCTGAGGCGCTTGAGATTGAAGCAGTTCAGGGCCAGGCACTCCAGGCCCGTGTCGGAGACCAGTGGGCATTTGCCGATGTCCAGAGATTTGAGTTTCGTGCAGTTCTTGGCAAGGTACTCCACGCCATGGTCCGTGATGCCCTCGCAGCCCCTCGCGTTGAGGTAGCGCAACTTGCTGCAGTACTTGGCCACGTAACGGATGCCCACGTCGGTCACCCGGCCACAGTGGGCGATGCTGAGGTACCGCAGGCGGGACTCCAGCTTGGCGATCTCCCGCAGGCCGAAGTCACTGACGAAGCGGCAGTCGCTGACACTCAGCTCCTTGATGGACGTGCAGTAGATCACCAGGTAGCGGAGGCCCTCGTCGGTGAGGCGGACGCAGCGTCGCAGGTACAGGTGGGTCAGCTGCGTGCAGTGCGCTGCGATGGTGTGCAGGCCCTCGTCCTCCAGCACAAAGCAGTCCGTCATGTCCAGGTAGCGGATGGAAATCTGTTTGCCATGCAAGGGGGACAATTTAATGGAGGCCTCCCGAGTCAAGCTGATGCAGGTCACTTTGGAGCACCCTACACAAAGAGACAGAACACATGCTCAGAGCAACCTGGGGCAAGGCCATTACCTATTCCGAACTCTCCCCCAAGCTCAAGCCAGGGTGTTACCCTTCCTGTCTTGACCCCTACAGAGAAAATAAGGTGAGGAAGGGTTCCCTATGTTCATTCGATTATTTAACTATTTTGAATATTTGGGCTTATGGGGATTCATAGATTTTAGAATGCAAAAGACCAGGCCAATTCTGATGGATCAAAATTGACAAAGATCCATTACTGATCCATCACTAATTGCCTGAAACGGAGAAAATCCATTTCACCAGGAATGTTCGGGAAGGATGATCATGATATGGAAAAGGTAGAGTGAGTGGGCTGGGGTTGTGGCTCAGTGGTAGAGTGCTTTTCTAGCATGCATGAGGCCCTAGGTTGGATCCCTGGCACACATAAAAATAAACAAATAAAATAAAGGTATTGTGTCCATCTACAACTAAAAATAAATAAATAGATAAATAAATAAATAAATAAACATTTTTTTTTTTTAAAAAGAAGTAAGAGTGTGTGTAAATATCTTACATTGGCCCTGGAAAGATCCAAGAGCTCAGTAAAGGACCTGCAATGGTCAGAATGCTCCTTGGTCCAAAGAAGAGAGACAGAGAGACAAAGCTGAACGTGATCTTGTATCACTAAATATTGTTTCTAAAGCCCTAAAATATGCGTTATAAATTTTATATATATGCATGTGTTCATTATAAATAGAATAATTATTACATATTTGTATATAATATATAAAAATTCATTGTGTATTTCAGTTCACTAAATATTACCTTATAAAATCTGCAAATTCATAGTATATAAATTTAATAAGTAATAAATACCAATAGTCAATACACATTATATAAGTAATTTGTACATATTTTATTCTACTACATAGACTGTATATATTTTTTCATTCCTCTCCACTTTCCAAATCCTTCCTGCAGTTCTAAAGCCAGGTGCTTCACTGCAGACACCTCTGAATCTTGGCTCTCAGTGCAACATCCAAGGTTTCTGAATGACTGCACGGCAGGGCTTTTGGGACTTTTCTCCCATCTCCTGGCAGGTTGCCCAGGAAACTCATAAATACAGGTGCTGGGAATAACAGGGTACAAATGTCATGTGCTACCAAGTCAAGAATCTCAGGAGGGAGTGAAGCACACAGTCCAACCCTGGGACACAGGGGTGCAACTCTGTTTTTTTTTTAATTTTTAAATTTGTTCTAATTAATTATACATGACTATAGAATGCAATTTGACATATTGTACACAAATGGAGCACAACTTCTCAATCCTCTGGCTGTACCTGGTGCAGAATCACTCCAGTAGTATGATCATACACGTATATAAGGTAATAATGTCTGTCTCATTCCTGACAGAATTTCAGGAGGTAGTGAAGCACACAGTCCAACCCTGGGATACAGAGGTGCACAGAGCCTCTTAGAGGCTGCCAGGCTGCTGTGCCATCGGACTCTGTGGCTTTGTGAGAGGTGGTTAGTCCCCTAGCAACTTTAACTTTGAACTCTGTTTGCTTGATGTCTATTTTATTGGGATGACTGTATTCAGCTCTGAATTGATTTATTGATCAATTTATTTATTGATCAACTTATTGATCTAAAGTGCTCTGTGTACTGTATTCAGTAATTTTTAATGTTAGTTTTATCCCTAATTCTTATATTTTTACTAAATTTGTATTGAAAAGAAAATAAATTGGTCCATGGATCAGTAGATAATATTTACAGACATGAAATTATTGTAATAATTTCTAGGGAGCAAACCCTAGAAATTTATCCAATTTAAGCTTCATTTTAAAAGGCTGAGGCATTTCAAACTCAGTGAGATTATGGGATCATACAATCAGATCAGGGGACGTTTGTTAGTTTAAATTTCTTTCTTTCTTTTTTCCTTTTGTATGAGTGTGTGTGTGTGTGTGTGTAAGTGTGAGTGTGTGTGTATGTATGTGAGTGTGTGAGTGTGAGTGTGTGTGTGTGTGTGTGTGTGTGGCTGGAGATTGAAGCCAGGGCCTTGAGCAAGCTAAGCACATGCTCTACCACAGAGCTACACCTCTACTAGGGTAAGTTTCTTGACTTTCAGGGCTTCAATTATAAGATGGGAGAGAAAAAAGACTAGGATGTATCACAAAATTGATGAATGACACAAGAGATTTATAGTTGATGGGTGAGCATGAAGTGAACATTCAGATACTCAGGAACTGGCAGTCTTGAAAGTGGTGAAACCTAAGGGGATCTTTGAAAGAGAAAAATAATTTGGATATTTTAGATATGGAGGTCCTGGTGGTAAAATAATATCAAGGCAAATTTGAGTAGCAAGAAAGCCTGGAGGCAAGTCCATGGAGGAGTGAAGAGTGTCCACAGAGAAGAACTCAGGGTGTCTGAAAGGGATATTACTGCATAGGGAATAGACAGCATGGGTTGAACAAACCTGTGGAGCTCCTTTAATTAATTCCAGATTTCATTCAGTTTTCACAAATTTGCTCTTCGTTAACATTTCCTCTTGCTATTGGGTTAACATCTCTACTTTCTCTGGGATGTAAGATAGCCAAGTCAGTGGAGACCAACTACTGACTTCTCAGGATGTTAATAACAATGACAGTACAGCAACTCCTGTGATTTCTGAGTGCTGCATGTTCTCAGCAGAGTGCACACATGAGACCTTTGTGTGATTAATGCATTGAACCTCCAAGCACCATTCTTCCTGATGAGGAAGCTTTAATTGCTGCAATATAGCATCCAGAATGCTTGCTTATAGCTTTAACCAATGCAAATTTCCAACCTTCTAGAGGTCAAGATGACTACTACCTTTTGAAGCCTTCAACACTCCTCTGTTCACTCCTCTGTTCACTCTGTGATATGATAAAACATTATAGCTGATTTTAATAATTTTCAGTGACTTTCAATGGTGGCATTTATTGCCTTGCTAGTTGCAGGACAGGCAATATCATGCCCTCTAGGGCATTAGAGCTCTTGACCAGCTTGAATGAAAGTCACCTTTAGCATCATTGAGAGTGTTGCTACTTTCTGAAGGTGGTTGTAAAACCAGGAGAACAAGGCACAGGGAAAACATACTGAGCAAAAAAACAAGGAGAACAAGACACAGTGAAGATGGCCTGGAACCTGCAAATTAGTCAGGTTGATGTAGCGAACAGATTTCAAGACTAGTAACTGTTACTCGATAGACAAAGCAGGATCACTCAGGACAGAAGTCCAGGGATTTCCCAAATAGCCAACATGGTTTTAGCATATCTGAATTTCAAAAAGGACCCAAAATAGAGTGTTCAACTACTTTTAGTCTGTGTGAAGGATACGTGGGAGATCTCTTTAACAAAGATGGGGATTCCAAAAATGAATCATTCTCTAATCTGAGAAAATAAAATGTTTATAAAATGCTCAATTAGAATGTTAAAGCACACCACTCTACTTATTTTTTTTCAACTAAAGAGAAAATACATCTAGAAAAAAACTCTAAGTTGTCCCAAATCACAAAGTTTTGAAACAAGTTTCTACCACATCATAATGCTTTCTCTTTTCCAGAATTCCTTGGAGGAAAAATGTATGAAAACCTCCTAATTTCCTGCTTCTTCATGCCGGTGGCTGCTCAGGACTAACCAAACACTCAGTTGCTATGGTTTTGTCCTGAAGCCAGCTGAAGTTGAAGCAGAGGAGCAGCATGCTGCTTTCCACCAAGGGAAGGAATCTGCAAAAAATAATGGCCTGTCATCTGAAATAGTTTCAGATGTCAGCTTTCAAAAGAGAGAGCAAGCTGAGAGTGGATTTACCTCATATTTGGTTGGAGGGCATCATTTACCTCAGATGCTTGTAAATCCCCAATTCTGTTTATTTGCCCTGCATGGTGGTTTTTCCTGCTTGACTCCCTCCCCAACCATCCCTGAGGTTGCAGCTCATGTTGTACATTTCTTTAACTCCTAATACATCTTACATGTTCCAGCCTCTTGCCTGTTCGTCTTTTAAGTGTGCAGTCCCTGAGATAAAGAGAGGCTGTTATTCAGGCTGGATTCCTGTGTGGTGCCAAAGTTTGACTCTAGGCTTTAATTCTTCAAACCTGAGAGAGAGTTTCAAGCAGAGTAACCATGCTGAGATCTCCTTCCATTCGGAAAAGGACTAAGGGTTTAATTCAATGGACCTGATCCTTGCACTATGTAGTTGAGAATTTTTATTAAAAAAAAAAAAAGGTCTAAAATTAATCAGGAGGTGAGGAGAGTCAGTGAAATATAAATAATCACTTGGCCGTGAAGTATTTTCTCCAGTGTCTATGGAAGGGCAAAGCCATCGTGAGCATAGGCAATGACTGAGGGGTTCATTAGGTCTGCAGAAAGAAGGATTCAAGGTCATTTTTACCTCCTAGGCATAGATCTCAAGCTTTATGGACCAGCAAGTAGGCAAAAGGGTAGCTTCTAAAGGAGGCTGGAGATACTCAGTTCCCTTAATCTAAATTGGATATTTTGTTTCCATTAAGCTCTGAAGTGACTGTGATCATTATGGAGAGGAAGGTCACATTTAAGTCATACCAACAAGGTGAGTGACATTATTGGATGAAAGGAATACTTATGGCCCTCAGGGTCACAATTACCAGAAGACAGTTTGTTAAGGAGAGCTGGCCTCCCTACACCCATTGCCCATCTCTGGTAGCCAACAAGAAGGGGACCCTCAATTGGGTGGAAATGTCTCTACTAACTTTGGGATGGTGCATTGAGAAAGCCGGTGCTGGGAGGGCAGCTTCTGTTTACCTGACACGTCCAGGTGCTCCAGATTGGGGCAGAGGGACACCACGTCAAAAACGGCCTCATTGGAGATATTGTAACAGCCTGAGACTTCCAGTCGCCTCAGTTCGGGGCAGCACTGGGCAATGGTGTAAAGCCCTCGGTCTGTGAGCCGCCGGCAGCCACTGACAATTACTGTTTCCAGCATGAGACACACGTTGGGGGTGTCCTGGCACAGCCTGCGGGTCAGCACCTTGAGCGCACGGTCCACGTTGATGGTCTCGCCCATCAGGCGGATAGTCCTCCAGAGCCGCGGGTCCCACGCCAGGTTGTACCAGCGGCGACACACGCGTGCACAGCGACACAGCTGGTTGGTGGGCAGGAAGGAGAAGATGTGCACCATGCAGTGGTCCGGGAGCCGGTCTATGCTGGCCTGCTCTTTCTGGGGTCTGGAGGCGAGCCTGATGAGCGGGTGTGTGAGGCGGGTCGGGGGCGGGGAGTGGACCATGGCCACCGTTTCTCCGGTGACAGAGGACGAGGAGGTGGATGAGCCCCTTCCATTCTGAAATCCTGGTAAAGTCGGTGGACATATCAAGGCTGGGCTGGGCGTGCTCAGTGTGCGCATGCTCAGGTCGGAGTCTGGCAAAGGATAGAGAACAAAGGGTTAAAGGACGGTGGTCTTACAGCGAGCCCTGGGAAGGAAGGAGAAGCACCAGTTTCTCGGAGAAGGCTCACACAAGTGAGTGGTTGGACTCACTGAGATCCTTCACTCCTGACCATCCCCAGAGGCAGAAGCACATGCAAGCAGCACCCATCCCAGAAAGATGCGAATCCTCTGTGATCTACACCAGCAGTGAGCAAATTGCCATTTACACTCTGAGACGTGGCAGCCATAGGGCTGCCTCTATGACAGTGACTCATGCCTGCCATTGTGGTGCCCAAACTGCCTTCGACAACATAGAAAGAACAGGCATTGCTGTTTCAGTAAAACTTGTTTTATAAAAGGAGACCAGCTAGACAGGCCCTGTTCAGACCAGGGGACAAATATCCCACCCTGCCTCCAATCCTTTGCTTGATCTCCCCTTTGTATTAATGGTAATCATCCAAAGGAAACAGCTTCAAAGTTTCGTTGTTTCTTTTCTGGGCAGAAAATTCATACATTAGGGACATAAACTGACTTTTCTAATTGTGTTTTGGTTAGTGGATGATTATGACCATTTACAAGTGAGGAGGGCAGACCAGGGAGTGGGGGTAGAGAACATCTGCTCTCTGCCTCACACACCCCAGGGGCATTTAGGACACGTTACTTTGATGAAAGTTCTGGAATAGCCAGCCCACTTCTTCTGTTAGGCCAAGCATTTCAAAGCGCATGTCCAGTCCTTGAATATCTGGGGAAATCTTTGTTTCCTTTTTACAAACAACCTTCTCTTTGCATTTGAATAAGTGAGCAATATTCTGTTCCTTGAAACCAGAAAGATCACTTGATGAGAACACCTGCAGTTTGTAAGTTTTAAAGGGATGAAGACGTCTTTAAACCCTCCATTGAAGAACATGCTTTTTTCACTCTCCCTCTTTCAATATATATGAGAATGAATTTAGTCTTTGTACAAATATGTTTATACATTATACATTCTATACAAATAGGTTTATTTAGGAAGAAATTTTTATTTCCTGAGTATACATTTTATTATTTTATATGAAAATATGTTAATATATTAAATATATTATGCGATTTATATCACACATACATACAAAAAAAGAATTTATTTCCAGCATGCAAATTTCTTCACTTATAGAATAAGTGGTTGGGCTAGACAATTTCTAAGTCATTTCCTATAGCTCTAAAGATTTAAGCAAAAAAATCTGTCCTTGTGTGTGCTACCACATTTCATTCCCTGGTAACTATGTTCTTGCCATCTTTTCAAAGAACTTCCAGCACTAACATGTTACACAAGAATTTTTGAGGCCTGGCCACCTCTGTTGAGCATCTATTTGTAGTTTTCTTGCAGCTTTTCTTGTTCTACTACAGCAGTTCTTTTCTTTTCATTTATTTCTTTGTAACCTATCACTGAAAATGACTTACACATGTTCACACTGCTCATGCAGCTCCTTTGAATTATTGCTCTGCACCCCATGTCTGCCTCTTGAAATGCAGATACTGTTTGTGACTGAGTGTAAATGGTACCTCGTCTACGAATATTTTCCTAGGGTCTTTGAGTAGGATCCATTCCCCTTAGAAATCACCATCCTTTGTTATTCAAGCATATATGAATTTATCTTTCCCTAATATGTTCATTGTACTATTTTTTCTTAAGGTTACGTCCCTATATTCCCATCTCCTTATCATGTGACTTTGAAGTTCCTCCAAATCAGAGTACATTTCTTCAGTCCAGCAATATTGAGCTTGGCTAGGTAACCCGTTTTGGAAATAATGGTAGAAGAAAGCCATTTCTGCACTTGGTTTGGTTCTTTTTTAAAAAATAGACACAATACCTTTATTTTATTTATTTATGTGGTGCTGAGGATCAAAGCCAGCACTTCACATGTGAGAGGCAAGCACTATACCACTGAGCTACAACCCCAGTCCTGGCCTTGTTTTTAATCTTTTATGCGAAGAACATGCCTGGCTAGTCCTGGCTATTAGGATAGGGACAGATCCATAGGGCACACAGAATTGCCCCTGACTTCCAGCTTAGAACCAAGTTGAAACCAATGCCCAAAAGAACCACAGACCTGAGCTTGAATAACTAACTCTTTTAAGGCACCGAGTGTGAGGGTGATTTTTTTCACAGCATTACTGTGGAAACAGATGATGGCAATGTCTTCTCTTAAACCAAAAGCTCTTCTGAGCCAGTGATGAAGTCCTTCTCTTTTTTGTGTCCTGGCATAGCTTATAGTAGGTGCATAACCAATATTCCAAATTGAATGAGATGAATGAGAGTATTTCTATGTTTTTAAAACACAATTCTAGGGCTGGAGATGTAGCTCAGTGCTAGGGAACTTGCCTAGCATGTGTGAGTCCCTGGATTCCATCCTCAGCACTTTAAAAAAAAAAAAAAAAAAAAAAAACCCTCTAGCTTGGCATGTATTTTTCTGTCCCAAGTGGTATACATGTTGTTTTAAATCGTTGATAAGAAATAAATCTCTCTCTCCATTATTAGGGACAATGAATAGTAAATCTTTAGGAAAACCTTAAACATAAACCAATCATGGATTTCAAAATTCCACCCAAACTGCTGATAGACACCAGCAACATGATGGATACTCAGAGAATTGCCTCTGTCTGAAGCTTGTGCTTTTCTTAGGCAGGTGAACAACTCATCTTGGGTCGGCAGGGGAAGCAATCTTAGACTCTCAGCCCTGACATTTTAGCAGCTGTGAGGGCTCTGAAATCTCTGCTGCCTGCCTAGGTTCCATTCATCTTGAGGGAGAAGACACTTAACAGTGCCCTGTGGAGACCTGCACAGAGCTGGGTCTATGGAATGAAGTATACTAACCCCAAATGGTGGGGGACAGGTTGCCGTGGGAGGTGGATATCTACAACCTGAGTCTTCACAGGATTCACTTTCCTTCACTCTTTCATGCTGCACTGAGGGGGACAATGCAAATGCATCCAGAATGCTTAGGACAGAGGACAGCTGTGCCTTTAGTAATGATTTTATTTTTTTAAATTTTTATTATTTTTTTTTTAAAAATTGCTAATACCCATACCGGAGCATTAAAGGAATCCACATCCAGAAAACCAAGGCAGCCTCCACATCTTGGAGGTGCACTCTGCCCTGGAGGGATTCCCTTAGACCCTGCTAGCTCTCCTTGCTCTTCCTCCAGAGTTTAGCAGCAGGTTCCTCAGCAGGAATTCCAGACTGCTCTTCACTGCTCAGGGTAGGGAGCCTGGAAGGTTTCTGCAGGGGAAACTGGATTTCTCTTTTATCAGACACACACCAGGATTCGCTGGTTCCTTCATGCTTATTCAATAACAGGTCAAGAACACCCTGATATCTTTGAGAGGATACCATTTATCAAAATTCAATAAATAGCGCAAAGTAATTAAAAAGTAATCAAGTGATGAACATCAAATAGAGATACGCTGTCACAAAATGTCTTTCCTTGATGTTCTCCCTATGTGTATAAGATGAATTTACAAAATTTTAAAAATGCACGTGTATACGCATGTATATGTACATGCATTTAATTTTAGAAACATATTTTATTAGAAATAAAATATGCATGGCTCATCACACAATGCATCAAGGTGCAACTAGATGTGATTTATAAAAACAGAAGAACTTCCAAGAATACCAGAATATGTCTTGTACCAGGAAAATAGAGCACATCTTCAAATTCAAACAGTGACCCTCTTCACCTCCCGCGTAGTACATTTCCTTTGTGCCAGAGAATGCAGCAAGACTAATCTACTCTGTACATAGGTCTTCCTCCCCCATCCCTTTCAGAGAACTGGAAGCTAAATGGTTATTGGCAATTGCCACTGATTTTTCTGAGAGGCTAAAAGCAAGAACCCCGATACTCAGACACCCAGATACATGATCAGAGAGGAGAAGGTCAAAGACAAGCACTAAGAGGAAGCAGAAGAAAGCTGCAGCTGTTCTTCTGACCTTATGATACTGTGGTACAAGCAAGCAGAAAGGAAACTGGCTGTACTTGAACTTGGGGTATTTTGAAGGTATGTATATATTTTTATATCTGGATATGTATTCCAAGTGAATTTCTGATACCTTAGAGCCAGATCACTCTGTTTATTTTAGCAGGAAGGTGATATGTATTGGGCTAAAATAAGTTTAATAATGACTCTGAGACGATATTATTGCTCAATTTAACACACTGTACACTTTTGTACACATGTATGTAAAAGTTAGACATTATACTATTTTTTTTTACCTTAGACAAAATGGTGAGATGAACGAATGCTTTATGGAAGAATTCCACACCACCAGGCATTGTTTTGAAGAGGAAAAATGAGATTTGCAAAAAAGTGCCAAATAAAATATACATGTCCAAAAGCTTTTATCAAGAATCAAACTAATTGCTACCTACCTCAAGTGTCCTTAAATTCCAGTATACACAAAGCCTCCTCCTGATCATAATATTTGAAGAAAGGATGTCACCTTCAATACTTTTAGAGGTGGCTTTCTAAAGGGCAGGCAGCAGCGCAGTGGCTTTCTAAAATCCAATAAAACCACTGTTGTGCCAGCAGACAGTCATTGAGCAAACTTTTCCTCCAACAACATAAATTGGTAATGGAATATGTTTGCAGGTAGATTCAGTGAATCTAAATAATGCACCACATAAAGGCATTTTGGTCAATGATGGACCAAAGACATGGTGTGGTTCCATAAATTTCTATTGCCCAGTGACATTGGTGTAAATATGCACTGTGATGTTCTAAAAACAATGATGAGTCTAATGATGCAGTTCCCAGCAGGAAGCCCTGTAGGTAAGGGGTGCAGACTGAGTAGTTGGATGGATGGATGAACTGAGGGATAGACAGAGGTATCTATCATCTATAAGGGAAAAAATTATAAAATCTGCAGAAAGCACACTTTCAGTTGGTATCAAATATGAAATTTGGAAATGATGCTGTCAATTACAAATATGAAAGACCCAGGAAAGATAAAGATGAA